AAATAAGTCTCATAAACGACTGAGCCTATTATTTGCGAATTGAAGAAATGTGTGCAATATTTCTATTCTAATTACTATTTATGTTAAACTATATATATATATATATATAGAATTTCAAGTAATAATATTTGTCTTTTTTATTTTGACTATATTAAACTAGAAATACAATCATGCAGAAGATATTGGAAGTTAACTTGTAGGTGTAATCTGATAATTCCTAATTTGAATTTAGTGATTTTATTATTGTGATCCTCGTGAAAATGTATTGAACTCAAAAATGGGTTGGCCAAATATCAGGGAACAGGCTAAATCAATGAATAGTTGATTTCTGTTCCACCAGATGGCGCTCTGCCTTCTGAAAAGCACATGTGCTCCTGGTCAGGATATGCCATTTTTAATATATATATATATATATTTTTTAATTAAAATATATATTATATAAAACTATTTACTTTAAAATAAGGTAAACCCTTTGTGTGTACTCCCTAGGATGGGATATTAGATAAATACACTTATATAGTCAATAACTGTGAAATTATTACTTTGTGTGTGGATATATATAATTCTTCAGAAATATCTTATCTATTAACCTGCCAATAACATTTTTCTGTTATTTTTCATTTCTTCAACAAAGTGCGGTGTTTTAGGTTCTACCCTGTATAGATGTATTTGAAAAATAAATTGTTATACCATTTACCATCTATGATATTTAATTTGTATTTACTTAAAATTGTGTAAATTCTAATAGTTGCATATACAAGCAAAATTAACATATAGCCGAGTGTAATATTCGACATTCATATATACGAGTATCATTTTCAAGATGTATTTTCTCCTTTATCCCAAAATTTACAATAGAACCTCAATTGGAAAACCCCTGTTGCCCCATAAAGTTGGTAACTAACAATGTATAATCTCGCTATACTCTACCATCACAGGGGTAGGCAAGACACCTATCTCGATATGAAGTTCTATAGAAACTCCATTTATGTGAAAGTGTATTTATAAACAATTATATCAACATTTTAATAACATACATAAATAACTTAGTGAACATATGGGCTATACTCATGACCGGCGACATTTTGTGAGAAAATATATGATTACCTTTAATTTAAATTGGTACAATATCCTTTGCAATGGTTTTAGAGGATTTTTAAAATATGTCATTGAGTTCAATACATTTTCACGAGGATCACAATAATAAAATCACTAAATTCAAATTAGGAATTATCAGATTACACCTACAAGTTAACTTCCAATATCTTCTGCATGATTGTATTTCTAGTTTAATATAGTCAAAATAAAAAAGACAAATATTATTACTTGAAATTCTCAGAAGATCAATAAATAAAATATTCAAATTTTCGAAGTAATAATTTCAAATAAAGATACGATAATAAAAAGAGACACAGAAAAAAATGTTAAAATATTATCTATGAAAAAAATAAAAATATTTCTAAAACAGTATTCGAAACCTAAAATTTTTAGTAGAGTAATTCCGAAATTATATTTTTAAAAACTGAAATCTGTGAAACCTCAAATTCTTAAATGCTAATTATAGAAACAAACCAAACGCAGAATTTTCAAAACAAACCACCGAAACCTGATTTTTTAAAGACGAAATTTCGAGTTCAGATTCCCCAAAACAGACTTCTCGGCAAACTCTATTATAAAATATAATCAGTGTTTTAAAAATAGAAATACATTAACGCCTAAAAGAAAATACCTAAACCAGATTTCCTAAACATAATGAGGAAACTAGAATTCCTAAAAGGAATTTCCGGTAACAAATTTTTCTGAGACAGAAAAGCGAAACCAAAAATCCGGAAACAGAATCCAGAAACCAAAATCCTGTCAACAGAAACCAAAATTATCAGGAGCAGAAAATATCCAGTCAGAAGGGCTCTCACCTAATGAACTCCCGGAATACTCCTTAGAACGGAAATGACGTCACGCAACTCCTTGGTTGTTAAAATTGTTTAAAAAATGATTTACTCTCTCCCATTACAGCGCCATTTTATTAAATGTAAATTCTGAAATGTAATTCTAAAGGGGGTATTTAGAGATGGGGGGAATCTCTGCTCCGCTGTCGGTTAGCAACTTATCAGAATTAGTAGTTGTATTATGTATTAGTAGTATTGTTTAAATCGGTATAATCCTATTTTTTTAATCTAACGATTGAATTTGTTTCTGAAGAGAGGTTTATAAATATAGCAAAAACCTCATATATATATAACATATTGTTGAATTCGTTGTGGGATATGTAGTGGGGTTGTGCGCGAAGATTTCTAAATGAGTTTGGGACCAAGGTGGGCTCATATTCATGGACATGCTTGAAAAAATACTTCCATCAACAAGGAATGATATTTTAAATTATTAGAAGACCTAAAAAGAACCATTTCTACAAAAAGGCAGGGCCTAAAAGACTGTCAAATCAAATTTCATCAGGACAATGCAAGGCCTCACACCGCGCAACAAAGCTCAAATTTCCAGATATGGGTGGACTTTGATGCCTCACCCAGCTTACAGTCCTGACCAGGCTCCTCCACACTTCTACCTGTTTGGTAAATTGAAAATTTCTCTACGCGGTAGATAATTTGAAAATTATGAAATTTTACTTCACGAGGTTAGAGGGTGGTTCAGAAAGCAAGATGTAGCATTTTACCAAAGTGCTTTTGTGAGTTGAAAGAACGCTGGACCAAATGTGTACGCAAGGAAGGTGGATATATTGAATGATGGTGATATATAGCTAATAATCAGGTATTCATATATACAAAGTTTCATCTTAATGGTTTGTCAACTTAAAAATATATTGATGATTGTGCATTACTGATTGACCCAACCTTGTATAAAATAATTCGAAGGGTAAATTTGAAATATAACTTGTGTAATATTTTATATTTTATAAATTTTAAAAAGTTACAGTAGAACAGTAACAGTTACAGTTACAATAGAAACTATTTATCAACCATATTAAAATTAAACTATATAGCAGATGTTAGAAAAAAAGTTGTCAATTTACCGAGGATCACACATATTTTTATCAATCTATTCACTTATTTTTCAAATTCTATTTTTGAAATTCTAGAATAATATATATGTCCGTAGTTTCCTTAAATGCCCTCCTCCCGTAATAATTAATGAAGTCAAATTTTGTAAGCCTATACAAGAGTGGTTTAAATATTGAATTCTAGTGACAGCTGGGAAAATTTACCACTAGTTAACCATGATCTCCCATTCTGACCTTTATTATTGAAGTATATAGTCTGTATAAATATAGTTTCAATTTAAAAAGGAGTATCGTTAAAAATGCCCCTTTTTTCAAAATATGTTTACATATGCGCAAAATTACGAATAGTTTAGGAGAGAGAGAGTAAAGTGAGTTTATTCATTGTGCATAATTGTAATATATTTAGAGACCCGCTGTTGTGAATATTTTACTTAATATTTCAAGATATTGTTACGCTTGATTTATAAGGAGTTATGATATTAAATAATGTACTTTATATATACAGATGTATATATATAGATGTATATTTGCCTTGATATGATGAACCACTTTTTATAGGACATCTAGGAGAAATATTTTGAAAAAGTCTCTTATAAAAATTATTAATCAGCAAAATATAAGGTCCAAATTAATAAATCAAACATAAATGGATGTAGTAAGTAGATTGTTGAAGGAGTGGTAAAAGTTAGCCAATCAATAAAGAGAGCGCTGAAGACCAGCAACCAATGAGGAGCGCCCACCAAACGACCACATCAAAGGCTGAGCCCACCTGGCCAAATATCCGGAAAGCTTTGTTGCCTGGAGTCGAGATTATTGGGCGCTGACCAACAAGGGATTAACTTTTTGTTTCTTTTATCTACCAAGGCTGCTAAACATTTGCTCTTCTTTCAGAGCCAGGCTTTTTTACCTCTTTATTTTCGATTTTAAACCTTTTCTTTCATGAAGTCACAAAGGAATCTAATAAAATTTATTTTTTGAATATACACACACACATTTCATAACGTATTTCATTTTTAAAAGCTTTTATTCAACTTGCTTTTTTATCTGTGTCCTTCTGTCTGTTTGTCTGTCCACAAATCTTGTAATCAAATATTAATATACTTACAGAGCAGCTAGAAGTCCAAATTCCAAACTTTTAGGTGATCGAGGTGATCGGTAATATGAACCATTTTTCTTTATTTGTGTAAAATTATGTGATCAATTATTAATATACCGTTATGACGCCTCCCGGGGGTCATTCTTTGCGAACAAAGTTTTTATGAAAACAATATGTGTTCGTCGTGTAAACAGCTTAGTTCGATATACTTTAATATAATTCGTGTGTGTTTTAAGGGAGATTAATAATTATACACAGTGGATGGGGACTTGCCTTCATTGTTGGCCACAAGAAGGATCCTCCACGTCCTCCTTGAAACCGGCTTCCTAGTTAATCCACATGGCCACACGCCCGAAGACTACTCGCCCCGTCTTCTTGTACCGCCGATATGACCAAAACCGTCTGTTCTCTCTCACACTGGAATGCCGTCCTGACGCCTGTCCCTCACACTTGGGCCATCCCACCACATCTGGAGTCCATCTATTTTTCCCCAACTTCACTTTGGGAACTTGGCCTCTTGGTTAACTTGTAATATAGTAGGGAGGGGATTTTATCCATATTACAGTAATGCCTGACCACGTAAAGGTCTGGGAATCTCCTGTACTGGCATACATTTTTTGTTTTTAAACTTTATTGCGGACATGTCTTTATTGTGCAAATGCAGAATGTTAGTTTTTTCAAGACTGATTTCTAGTTTATTTTAAGTACACCATTGATCATTTTTCTTCCAAGATTATTTCTATCAATTTTTAAGAGTATCCTTGTCTTTATTCCAAACTCTTATTGTCACATAATCAGCATAACTCAGTATTTCAGAATTTGGTATCTGCATTTTGTTTGATAAATCATTTAGTAATATCAGCCATAGCACAGGAGACAGTGGTCCGCACTGTGTATCATTTATAATATCTAGTGGACATGGCACCTGCCCGGTAAGCAGAAGGTTGTGGGTTCGATTCCCGCTCCTGGACACTTTTATTTTTCCGTTCGCCATTACTCTTCATATTTTTCACCCTCCATACGTCATCCATTCATATATAGACCATCACTTTTCATATATTCAACCTTTTCATACGTCATCCAAAAGTTGTAAATATTAAATTATTTCTCTTTGAAATTAAAAATGATTTTTCATAAATAAAAAGAAACTTATGCGGTTAAACTGGTTGTATAGCTTTATATCTGTGTATAATTTAAAATATAATAATTTGATCAAATATTTATAAATTTAGAGAGGTAAATCAAATTAAAATAAAATCAAATAAATAATTAATTAATGATTTTTTTTATTAAAATTCACTACAATGAGAAAATAAATATATCAACAACCGTCATTGAACAGGTAGATCTAAATGAGACCTGCGAGGAAGACAATAAATCACTTTTTGGAACAATATGATTTAATATGAAACAACTTAATAGCAAGTTGTTATGTTTCACTAAAAATATTTTACCTCTTCCCTTTTATATTTATAACCTTAGCAAATTTTATGACAGAATTTTAAACCATTTCAAAATGGAAAATTGATAATACAATAGAAGTTCCATGAAAAGACGCTCTCGTCAGTAGATATCTCTTTACAGAGGACAGTTTTCATTACCAAATTATTATTTTTTCGATCAACAATTATTTAGTCAAAGGAAATCTCTCCCTAAAAAGCACTTGGCTTCTACAACTAGTTGCACCTCACAGAGAGTTTCTACTGATTTTGATAATCGTGTCAAGTTTTTATTCTTCAAGTGTAGATTATTAATGGTGTGATATGTGTTCAGCTATCTGAGAAGGATTGGCAGAAAAATCAATGGCCTGGTTTTTGGACTTCTAGAACTTTGAAGAAGACAGGTCCGACCAACTCAAGCTTGATTTAAATTTGTTAATAATGTGGTTCTTGATCTTATTTCTTTTTTAATAGATAGGACACATTTCTATTATGAGTGACTGAGATGAATAACATTCTGTAAAGCTTGGTGTTTTAGTGGTGAATTCTCTCAGTGAATTCGCCAATTTATTCAACCAGATCGCAATACTTTTGTATTTTCATTCTGTTTATATATCTTACATATAAACGGAATAAACACACACACATACAATAGTTGTGTTGAAAAGAAAAAAAAATAATAATCGTGTTTCACCAGCCGTGTTCGCGCAATTCGCGAACTTTTATTTTCCTATTTGCAAATCTTGTTCGTAACAGGTTTTATTTACATATATACATTCAATACTTTACTTCTTCAAACTTTAGCTCCACTTCTCTAAACTTTACTTCAAACTTTAGCTTCACTTCTTTAAACCCCACTTCACTTCAAACTTTAGCTTCACTTATTTAAACCTTACTTCACTTCAAACTTTAGCTTCACTTCCCTAAACCCTACCTCACTTCAAACTTTAGCTTCACTTCTTTAAACCCTACTTCACTTCAAACTTTAGCTTCACTTCTTTAAACTTTACTTCTTTGTACTTCAGCTTCACTTCTTTAGACTTTACTTCTTTATACTTTAGCTTCACTTCTTCAGACTTTACTTCTTTATACTTCAGCTTCACTTCTTTAGAGTTTACTTATTTATACTTTAGCTTCACTTCTCTAGACTTTACTTCTTTATACTTTAGCTTCACTTCTCTAGACTTTACTTCTTTATACTTTAGCTTCAGTTCTTTAGACTTTACTTTTCTATACTTTAGCTTCACTTCTTTAGACTTTACTTCTTTATACTTCAGCTTCACTTCTCTAGACTTTATTTCTTTATACTTTAGCTTCACTTCTCTAGACTTTACTTCTTTATACTTTAGCTTCACTTCTTTAGACTTTACTTCTCTATACTTTAGCTTCACTTCTTTAGACTTTACTTCTTTATACTTCAGCTTCACTTCTTTAGGCTTTACTTCTTTATACTTTAGCTTCACTTCTCTAGACTTTACTTCTTTATACTTTAGCTTCACTTCTCTAGACTTTACTTCTTTATACTTTAGCTTCACTTCTTTAGACTTTACTTCTCTATACTTAAGCTTCACTTCTTTAGAATTTACTTCTTTATACTTTAGCTTCACTTCTTTAGACTTTATCTTCTTTTACTTTAACTTCACTTCTTTAGACTTTATATTCTTTTACTTTAACTTTATCATCAGGCTTCTTATAAACTTCTCTTGCCTTTTCACTTGAGCTCGAGCTCCTTGATTCCCTCTCCCAATCTCCACACTCTCACTCTCCCCGCGCGCTTATCTCATACCTTTTTCGCCGGCTTTTATAGTCGTATAAGGTCACACCCCGAAACAACTCCTCCAAATGCTTCGAAACATCATGCATGGATCTACATCCACAACAATCTTGACCGGCCATGGTTACATTCAGGCAGACCTTGCAACGGTATCGAAAGAAGACCCAACTTGCCCCCACTGCCAAGATGAAGACCAAACCGTAGACCACCTCCTCTTCACTTGCCCAACCTTCCAATACCAAAGATTCCAGACAGCCACTCTCCTAGGTATCACCAACATATGTCCAGCATCCCTAGAAAATCTCCCAAGAAAGAAATCTGCCTGGCGACACCTCATTAATTGGACTTCCACTGGCATTGTATATAAATCCAAGAAGACTTAGGTCAGAAGGACATCCCGGGTAGTTGGCGACTTCTGTACGCTCCAGGAACCTGGGTTACTTAAATAAATAATAATAATAAGGTCACGTGGACGGACTCTGTGGCGCACTCTGTGGCGCATCCCTTGGCGCGCGCCATCTAGAGCCGTCTTCCTGAATCATTTCCAACAAGTTGTGTAATGATCTGAAAAATTAAATTGGCGAAATCGCTCGAAAGGTTCATAACTGCTCCCAAGCCTTCCCAATTATTTTCATTTCCAGTTCACTAATGGTAGAAATTTGTTTATCTATTAAAAGGAAACATCACATATAATAAAGCGTCTGTTCGTTGAAGCCGAATAGGATTGGTCCATTCTGTGTCACGTGTTCAAGTTACTTAGTTAAGTGACGTGGCCGGCTGTAGGTCTGTTTGGTTTTTGTTTTCATCCTTTATTTTATTCTATTCTGACCATATTAGTCATTTTTTGCTTTCGGCAATTTATTCGGTGAATATTTGAGGAATAATATTTTTAAAATAATTTTATTTTTTTAATTTAGCTTGATTATTTTATTTTTATAAACAATGTCTCCTAAAAGAGCCCTTTCTATTGTTGAGGCCATCGAAGCAAAGCAACGTGGTATCGAACAGCAGCGACAAAGACGTTTAAATTCACCCGTAAGAGAACGGCATAATGAACAACAACGGCAATACCGAATGAATATGAGCGAAAATCAAAGAGCCCTTCAAAGGGAAAACAGTAGGCTGAGGATGCTAAGAATTCGACAGGGAGATAATCTACCTTTGCCAACAGGGACATGTTTCGAGGAAGATCAAGTTTGCCCAAAATGTAGAGCAAAGTATTTCGAATTGGAACAAACGACATACAGTAAAACTTTTCATAAATGCTGTTCCAAAGGAAAAGTCGAACTTGAACCGATTCAAACCTCTGAACTACTTGAAAGTTTAATGACTGGAAAACATCAACTTTCAAAGAACTTCATGGAAAACATCCGTTCCGTCAACAGTGCCCTAGCATTCGCTTCAATGGGAGCAAACCTTGCACCTCCTCCTGGATATGGGCCCTATTGTTTCCGAATCAACGGACAGATTTATCACCGCTCAGGTGCCTTGCATCCTGAAAATGATGATCATGTTGCAATGATGATCATGCAAATGTCATTATTTATGATGAAGCTACCATGGCACCAAAAGATGCTCTTAGATGCATTAATAATCTCTTGAAAGAAATCATGCAAAATAAAAAAAACACTTGGTGGTAAAACCATTGTCTTTGGAGGGGACTTCCGACAGACTTTGCCTGTTGTTCCACATGGAACTCAAGCTGCAATTGTAGATTCAAGTATTAAATTTCATCCTCTATAGAAAAAAATTAATATTTTGAAATTAGACAATAATATTAGGTCAATTGACCCAGAGTTTAGTGCCTGGCTTTTAAAGCTTGGAAATGGCGAGCTAACAAAAGATCTTGGCTTAGACTCCGATACATTTGAAATACCATCTGAAATGGTTTGCAATGGCGATTTAGTCAAAGAAATTTATGGAGATAAATTGCTTCCTTCTGACTTCGAACAGTATACCGATAAGGCTATACTTTGTCCCAGAAATGTGGATGTTGATGATATCAACAACCGAGTTTTAGATATCCTTGAAGGTGACTCCATAACATATTTCAGCTCAGACTCAATAGATGATGCGACACCTGAAGATAATGAGAGCTATCCACCGGTATTTCTCAACAGCCTTAACCCTTCGGGAATGCCACTTCATAAGCTGAAGCTATAAGTTGGAGCAATCATAATGCTTCTTCGAAACTTAAACACAAAGCGAGGTCTTTGTAACGGGACGAGATTAGTAGTAACTAAATTGTTACCTAATTTAATTATTGCAAAAGTTCGGACTGGCACTGCAGTAGATCAATCTGTATTTATTCCGAGAGTTTACTTGGCCCCAATACATTCTGAGATTCCTTTCATTCTCAGAAGGGGACAGTTCCATGTAAAATTAGCCTTCGCTATGACAATAAATAAATCACAAGGCCAAACCATTGAAATGGTTGGCATTATTTACCTGAACCAGTTTTTAGCCATGGTCAGTTATATGTTGCTTTTTCTAGGGTGAAAAGCTCTAAGTGTGTTAAAATAAAAATAATCCACGGAAGCAAGCAAGGAAGGCTTCTTGAAAATAGTTCAGCTTGCTTCACCAAAAATGTTGTTTACAAATAAATTTATTCATTGTAAGTTCACCTCTTTTAAAGTAAAAATGTTAATTAAAAAAATATCAATAAAATAACCCGAAAGGTAAAATGTTGCAACGCTCGGAAGGGGATCGATCCCTGACGGACCATGAACGTTATTTTACCTCGAACGCTTCCGATTACATA